CTCCCACATCCCTTTCCATCCGACATATTCCCACTGTGGCCTAGGGCAAATATACGACTTTAAATTGCATCACTCCAGGGAATGATGATGTTAATGAAGACAAACGAATAAGAAAAGGTTGTCAGTTCAGTTAGCTAAGGGGATAAGGAATGGCTCAAAAGCCTGGTCATGTCCTTTAAATATTCCACAAGGAAGCAGGAACACTCACGCACACACGCAGCCATGGAGATGGCGTGAAAGGTATCAGAATACGTGAGTATTTGGGGGGGACATTGTGACACAACCTATTTTATGTCATTATAATAGTACACCTTTTTGGCCGTGGTAAGAGATAATCATGGTTGGTTGGGTTGGCCATTCGCTTCATCGCCTTCCCAGATTATCGAAAAATGGGGAGGTTCATTTTAAAATTTCGTATTTAAGACACACATTCAATGTTGTCGGACGTCTATCCGTTTTGCTTTTCCTCATCCAACCATTTATTCGTTTTTCATGCGTTTGCATATTCAAGTAATTGTTATAGTGGTTGCCCATGTCCCTTTCCCTGTCCCTGAAACGAGGATGAGGAGGATGATGATGGCATATAATGGACATGTGAAAGGCTGAGGCACTCACATTACACTAAAAACCTACGACGATGACCAGCTGCATTAGATGAGGCTTTTGTATGCTTTTATACAAATCGTATCATTATCTGTCTGAGCTTATTGCGGTGTTGTCGATGTCGATTAGGGGATGGGTTTAAGACTGGCGTCCATTTGAATGCGCTGCCTCCAGCTCCTAGCCTCACAGGGTATGTTGTAACATGTGGTGTTAATTGGAGTAATATTGTTGGAAGCTAACGTCGCCGCTGCTGATGCTGCCATCATTTAATGGAGAAAGAGTTACGTGTGAGTTTGTGTCAATCACCTGTATTATGGATGCTCTTCTAATGGTGCTGCTGATGCCGCTACCAATGTGGCTTCGTTTATCTTTAATGGGTGATGTCAGGATGATTAGGAAAGCGTTAAATTTACCGTGAAACTTCATTTTAGTCTATGGTTGATGATTTTAAATAGTAAAGAGCATAAAACATACCGTTTGTAAATGGCATACAAATGTTGGCTGTGTTAAGGGGACACCGCATTTATTGGCGACTTAGAGTGGATGTTTTCCATTTGAAAAGGATCTGCCACACACAAAATAGTGTACCGAGATATATATTTTTTTGTACAAAATGTGTCTGCTATACATTTCCAATTGCCACCAAATCATGACAAGTTAAAAAGCAGTAAGTTCGGCCGGACTGAACTTAGAATACCCTCCACCATATGGAAAAAAATTGAAACTCTTAAAAAAATTAATTAACTATAAAATGAACAAGTTAAAATCAGTAAGTTCGGCCGGGGCGAACTTTGAATATCCTCCACCATTTGGAACGGAATTGGAAATAAAATCCTTTAAAAATTCTGTTAAAATTTTAAAAATACCGAATATATAGCCGTTATATTGGTGTCTATACGACGTGGACCTAAATAGGTCATTACCATATTCAAATTCGAAACTTGAAATAAACGGTGAATAATGTATCGTATTTAGGGAGGTACCATAATATCGGAGCTGTGCGAAGACCTGGACCAGCATAGACAATTTTTTGTCATATTCTGTAGCATCCATTACGAACTTCAAATACGACATCTCAAACACTTTCGGTGGGTATTGTACCTAAACTCGTCAAAATACCGAATATAGGGAGATACTGGAATATGGGGCCTATACGAAGGCCTGGACATGCATAGACAATTTTCTGTCACAGATTGTAGTTCCCATTACGAACTCTAAATACATAATTTGAAACATTTCCGGTGAATAATGTCGCTAAAATCATCAAAATACCGAATATAGGGAGGTACCGTTAAATGGGGGCCATACGAAGGCGTGTACCTTCACAGACCATTTTCTGTCTTAGGCTGTAGTATTCATTTCGAACTTCAAATAGTAAATTTGAAACAATTCCGGTGAATAATGTCGCTAAAATCATCAAAATTCCGATTATCGGAAGGTACCGTTATATGGGGCTATATGAAAACATGGACCTACATGGTCAATTTACGAACTTACACGTGTGCAAAACTTTAGCCTTCTATCTCAATTCGTTCGAAAGATAGCGTGATTACAACAGACAAACAGACAAAGTTAATATACCCTCCATAGTATGCTGTGAATAATGTGGCTGAATTCGTCACAAGAACAAAAATCGCATTAGGAACTTCGAATACGAAATTTGAAACAATTCCGGTAAATAATGTATTTAAAATCATAAAAAGTCCGAATATTGGGAGGCTCCATTATATGTAGGCTATACGATGACTTGGACTTACATATGCAATAAACTGGCATAGATTTTAGTACCCATTACGAACTTCAAATGCGAAATTTCAAACAATTCCGGTGAATAATGTCCCTAAAATAATAAAAGTACCGAATATAGTGAGGTATCCTTATGTGGGGGCTATATGAAGTCCTGGACCTTCATAGCAAATTATCTGTCATAGACTGATGTTCTAATTAGGAACTTTAAATAGGAAATTTGAAACAATTTCGATGAATAATTTATCTAATATCATCAAAATACTGAATATAGGGAGGAACCGATCCTTGTTGGCTATGCAAAGACAGATAATTTTCTGTCATAGGCTGAGTATCCATTACGAACTTCAAATACCAAATTTAAAACAATTCCGGTTAATAATCTCGCTTAAATCACAAAAATATAAATAAAATAGGAAGGTACCATTATATGCTAGCTATACCAAAACGTGGACCTACATGGCCAATTTTCATTACCAAAAGAAGACATAATATACTTTTGAGTACAATTTTATCAACCCTCTTCATTTCGTTTGGAAGCTGGAGACGGATAGGCGGACATCAGACGGACGAACATAACTAAATCGACATAAAATTTTATGCTGATCAAGAATATATATACTTCGGGGGGTCTAAAATGTATATTACGAGGTGTTACAAACGGAATGTCAAACTTAATATACCTTCCATACTATGGAGGAGGGTATACAAATTTACAGCACAGAAAGAGAAAGGATAATCCGTTTTTGCTCCAACTTTGCAAATCCTAATATTTGCATAGGTCTGGTGCGAAAATGGGCAATATCGACCCAATCCATTAAGTACCTCCCCCATAAAGGGTCAAAATATCGAATAGTTATAACTCATGCAATGTTAGACTTCGATTATTTTCAAATTACACACATCATAATATTATGATGAAGATGAAATATATCGGTTCACTCCTTCAGGTACCTCCCCACAAAGGGTCAACATTTTGAATAACCATGAATCTAATTTAACACAAAATTAACATCCGATTTCATTCAGACTTGGCGCATCTCAATATTTCCATTAAAATATGATCTGTTATAAAAATAGTGGAGATCAAACCACTTCTTCTGGTACCGCCTCCACATAGGGTTTAAGGTTACGAAAAACAAAATACTCAAAGAAAGCGAAAAAGAATCCAACTCTTTTCAAATTGCACACATGCAAACATTTTTGCTAACACAATATCTCTTGTGAAGATGATATATATCAGCGAACCCCTTCTGGTACCTCACCCACAAAGGGTCACAATTTTCAACAAAGACCTCAATATCAAATTTGACTAATCCAGCACTATCCCTTAACCCAATAACGAATATAGTACCATTCATTTTTGAATGGCCCAGGCTTCACATGAATAGCGGATTCAGATTTCAAGCACTGTCCGTTCACCCCATATGAAGTTCCCGAAGCAGCTCTTTATCACAAACCTACCAACAACAGGCACCCCAAGACACCCTTTCACTAGAGGTACGAAAACATCCGGTGAATTTGTTAAAAATCGATGAAGAGTGGGATATAGTTCCTAAATTGTGAATACTCTAAGGCCATGATACGCCCCTCCCGACTTTTTATACCCTCCACCATAGTATAGAGGGTATATTAAGTTTGTCATTCCGTTTTTAACACCTCGAAATATACATTTTAGACCCCACAAAGGATATATATTCTTGATCAGCATAAAATTCTATGTCGATTTATCAACGTCCGTCCGTCTGTGGAAATCACTCTAGCTTCCGAACGAAATGAAGTAAGTTGATAAAAATTTACTCAAATATGTATTATGTCCGCAGGACTTTTGGCATTGAAAATGGGCTATGTAGGTCCACGTCTTCGTATAGCCCCCATATAACGGTTCCCCCGACATTCGGTATTTTGGCGATTTTAGCGACATTATTTGCCGGAATTGTTTCAAATTTGGTATTTAAAGTTCGAATTAGATACTACACCACAAGACAGAAAATGGGTCATGTAGGTCCACGTCTTCGTATAGCCCCTATATAGCGGTACCTACCGATATTTGGTATTTTTATGATTTTAGCGACATTATTTACCGGAATTGTTTCAAATTTGGTATTTTAAATTCGTACTGGATACTACAGCCTAAGACAGAAAATGAGCCATGTAGGTTCATGTCTCCGTATAGCACCCATATAACGGTACCCCCGACTTTCGGTATTTTTATTATTTTAGCTACAATATAAACAGATTTTTTCGTTTCGCATGTGAATATTATAATAGACTATGGCAATAGTTGCCTATGCAGGTCCACGTCGTCGTATAGACCCTAAAATAGGGCTATATTCGGTATATTTAAGATTTTAACAGAATTTTTAACTGATTTTATTTTTTTGAAAATTGCCAAATTTGTACCAAATGTTGGAGGGTATTAAAAGTTCGGCCCGGCCGAGCTTACAGCTTTTTTACTTGTTTTACCTTTTCTTACTGGTTTGACTCATGAAGGAAGGCATAATAAGTTCGAACAGATCGAATTTGATGCCGTTTTTACTTCTTACCCATATGACCATCATATATTTCCCCAAATGGCGTGATTGACAAGCTTGTTCCCTTTAACAGAATTGTTCAATTGTTTCACATTTTCTTAAAATTCTTTATTGACAAAAGCACACAATTATACACATCGTAATTAAATTACTGAATTTTCATTTGGCTCAATATGGTATACATCGAGAAGGAGAACTTTATTATCTGAAATCAATTAAGAAAACAAAAAAAAATTAGAAATACCTCAATTTAAATTTGAAAATAATCCCACTCACCGCTACAAACGTTTGCAATGTAACCGGTGCCAAACCGCCCGCATAGATGACATTGACCTTTTGCGAACGCTGCATAAAAATGATCAACATTCGACGAAAATTACGATTCTGCTCAATCCAGTTGCATTTGTACATGGCCGTTGTGAGATTTGAAGTTTCCGACATCATAAAATTCACACACAAGCAGGCGGGAAAAATTTGAATGACAATAACACCTAAATAGACAACGGAAAATATTTTCTCAGCAAATGTTCGTTCGAAGGCCATTAAATTGATGGCCGTCAGGCAGAGCGTAAAGGCAGCGACCCATAACTGTTGAAACATTGTCGACGATATGGCCGGTTGAATGCATTCAAAATAGCTAGAAATAGGGGAGAAGGTAAGGATACAGGATTTTTGAGAAAACGAGTCACCAAAAAAAAGTTGTAAGTTCGGCCCGGCCGAACTTTGAATACCTCCCACCATTTGGAACAAATTTGGCAATTTTCAAAAAAAAAAAAAAAAAAAATAAATAAATAAAATCTGTTAATGTTGCCGTTATATTAGGTTCCATACGACGACGTGGACCTGCATAGGCAACTTTTGTTATAAGCCATTACAATATTCAAATGCGAAACTTGAAAAACAAGAAAACTAGTATCAGTCGGTTTCGACGACAGATTTATACCCCCCAGCCTTGAGTTATGATTCTTCAAACTCTTCACTCTTAATGGGGGAGCTTCGGATGTAGTTGGCCAATATTGTCCAATTAGTTGCTGACTATATCGACTACTTCCTGTACTTTATACGAGATATGTGAAAATTTTTGGAAAATTTGGAAGAGAAATTACATATTTTCATACTTTTTCTAATACAGGATAGAACATTTATATCCAATTTTATGAAAAATCATAAATCAATCAAGATAAATCACATATTCATAGCAAATTTCTGGCTAAGAGAATTATTTAGATACAGAATCGCCGAATTGTTTCGCAAGTTATGACAGATATAAGTATTGAAAATTCTGACCCTTTGTGGATGAGGTACCGCAAGGCGTTTGCAGATGTATATGTGGGTTTGTGTTCGGGAAATTTGAGGAGATAGATGGATGGACTTGGATGCTTATTTCGCTTCCTTTGAGAGTCTGGTTTTTCAAAATCTTGAACCCTATGTGGGGGAGGTACCAGAAGAAATGGTGCGATCTTTACCATCTTTATACCCTACACCACATAGTGGTAAGGGTATTATGTCTTTGTGCATTTGTTTGTAACATGGAGAAGGAAACGAGTTAGACCCATAGTTACTTTTGAGAACCTTCATAGAATCACTTTCTGAGTCGATTTATGCATGTCCGTCCGTCCGTCCGTCCGTCCGTCCGTCTGTCCATGTATTCTTGTGAACAAAATGCAGGTCGCATTTATTATCCGATTGAGATGAAATTTTCCAAACAATATTTTTTTGGCCCAAGGACGAACCCTATTGAAATTGGTGAGAATCGGATCAAATTTAGATATAGCTCCCATATATATATTCATCCGATTTCGGGTTAAATGTGCACCAAATGTCCACTATCAGTCCAAATTACCTGAATTTTGGCACACCCAACCGAGTTCGGCCTAGAAGCAAGTATATCAAATTTGGAGAAAATCGGTTCAGATATAGCTACAGCTCCCATATATATCTTTCATCCGATTTGATCTTGAAGTCCCTCACATTCCTACTATGCACTCCACAACCGTGATATTTGGTACCAGGTATTAGATGGAGCACAGAAATAGCTGTTTTAAATTTTATCGAAATCGGTTCAGGTTTGGATATAGCTTCCATATATATCTTCATCCGATTTCGGGTTAATTGACCACCAAATGGCCAATATCAGCCCAAATGGCCCGAATTTTGGCACATGTGACCGAGATTAGCCTTAAAGCAAATACAACAAATTTGGAGAAAATCGGTTCAGGAACAGCTATAGCTCCCATATATGTTTTATCCGATTTGGTGTTTAAGCCTCTCACATTCGTAATATGCACTCCACAAGAATGATATTTGGTACCAGATATAAGATACAGCCCAGAAATAGCTGTTTGTAATTTTATCGAAATCGGTTCAGATTTGGATATAGCTCCCATATATATCTTCATCCGATTTCGGGTTAATTGGGCACCAAATGGCCAATATCAGCCCAAATGGCCCGAATTTTGGCACATGTGACCGAGATTAGCCTTAAAGCAAATACAACAAATTTGGAGAAAATCGGTTCAGGAACAGCTATAGCTCCCATATATATGTTTTATCCGATTTGGTGTTTAAGCCTCTCACATTCGTAATATGCACTCCACAAGAATGATATTTGGTACCAGATATAAGATACAGCCCAGAAATAGCTGTTTGTAATTTTATCGAAATCGGTTCAGATTTGGATATAGCTCCCATATATATCTTCATACGATTTCGGGTTAATTGGGCACCAAATGGCCGATATAAGTCCAAATGGACTGAATTTTAGTACATCGGACCAAATTCAGCCTAAAAGCAAGTATATCAAATTTAGTGAAAATCGGTTCAGATATAGATATAGCAACCATATATATGTTTCATCCGATTTAGTGTTTTAGTCCCATACATTCGTAATATTCACTCCACAACCGTGATATTTGGTACCAGGTATTAGATGGAGCACAGGAATAGCTGTTTTAAATTTTATCGAAATCGGTTCAGATTTGAATATAGCTCCCATATATATCTTCATCCGATTTAGGGTTAAATGTGCACTAAATGGTCAATATCAGCCCAAATCACCTGAATTTTCGTACATAAGGCCGAATTCAGTCTAGAAGCTAATACGTAAAATTTGGAGAACCCCGGTTCAGAGATAGCTATAGAATTAGATAGATTTTGATTTTGTACCAAATATCTCATAGAGCTCTGAAATGCACTGTATAAACCTTTTTACGAGAGCTCTACTAAATATGCATAGTGGTGTAGGGTATCATATAGTCGGCCCCGCCCGACTTTTGAGCTTTCCTTACTGGTTATAACAGATCTTGTGTTAATGGAAATATGGAGATGTACGTCTGAATGGAGTCGTTATTTTCTCGTTTTATGAACTTCCTGAATATACAAAATTTTAACCCTTTGTGGGGGAGGTACCAGAAGAAGTGGACCGATATATTTCTTCTTCCCGCCAGATCCGGGAAAGTAAAAATATTGTTTTGTATGTAATTCTAAGACATTTTATAAGAGTAATAATTATTCTAAATTTTGACCCTCTGTGGGGGAGGTACTTGATGGAGTGGACCGATATAGTCCATTTTCACACCTGATCTATCAGTGATGCAAATTTTGGGATATGCAAAGTTTGAGAAAAATCGTATTATCCTTTCTCCTTCTCTACAATAAATTAATTTCCTTGAAAATGTTTACATTTTGTGTGGGAGGTACCCGAAGGAGTGGACCGATATTGCCCATTTCCAAACTCGATCTAAGTTTGACAATAATATTACGATGTACCTCGTTTGAATCAAATAGGATACTCCCTTCGAGAGTTATAGTGCGCACAAGCCAGACAGACAGACGGAGGACGGACGGACATCGCTAGATCGAGCTAGGGTCTAAAACCGTTATTTCAATGAGGTACGTTTTGACCGTATCAAATAATATATACCTTCTATAGCCATATGGCTGAGGGTATAAAACTTCGGTGAATAATGTAGCTAAGATCATCGAAATACCGAATTTAGGGAGGTATCATATGGGGGGCTATACCAAAACGTGAACTTGCACAGACAATTTTCTGCCATAGCCCGTAGTACCCATTACGAACTTCAAATACCAAATTTGAAACAATTCCGGTGAATAATGTCGCTAAAATCATCAAAATATCGAATATCGTGAGGTGCCGTTATGGGGGGTTATACGAAGGCGTGGAACTGCACAGACAATTTTTGTCATAGGCTGTAGTATCCATTACGAACTTCAAATACCAAATTTAAAACAATTCCGGTAAATAATGTAGCTAAAATCAAACAAGCTAAAAAGCAGTAAGTTCAGCCGGGCCGAACTTTGAATACCCTCCACCATTTGGAATGAATTTGGAAATAAAATCCTTAAAAAAATGTTAACATTTTAAAAATACCGAATATAGCCGTTATATTGGTGTCTATACGACGTGGACCTATATAGGTATTTGCCATAAGTCATTACCATATTCAAATTCGAAACTTGAAATAAACGGTGAATAATGTAGCAAAACTCATCATAACTGCCATAGGCTGTAGCATTTATTACGAACTTCAAATACGCGTCTCAAACAATTTCGGTAGGTATTGTACCTAAACTCGTCAAAATACTGAATATAGGGTGATACTGGTATGTGGGGCTTACACGAAGATCTGGACCTGCATACCCAATTTTCTGTCACAGATGTAACCGGTCCCATTACGAACTCTAAATACGTAATTTGAAACAATTCCGGTGAATAATGACGCTAAAATCATCAAAATACCGAATATAGGGAGGTACCGTTATATGGGGGCTATACGAAGACGTGGACCAGTTTTCTGTCTTAGGCTGTAGTATCCATTTCAAACTTCATATACCAAATTTGAAACAATTCCGGCTAACAATGTCGCTAAAATAATCAAAATACCGAATATTGGGAGGTACCGTTATATGGGGGCTATACGAAGACGTGGACCTGCACAGACAATTTTCTGTCATAGGCTGTAGTATCCATTTCGAACTTCAAGTACGAAATTTGAAACAAATCCGGTGAATAATGTGGCTTAAATCACCAAAATACCGAAAATAGGGGGGTACCATTATATTGGAGTTAAACCAAAACGTGGATTAACGTGACCCATTTTTAATGCCAAAAGTCCTGCAGACATAATATACATTTGAATAAAATTTGATCCTAACTTTAATCTTTGATCCGAAATTAATTCTTTTCCTTCGGAAGCTCTAGTTATTTCGACAGACGGAAAGTCGGACGGGCATCGCTAAATCGACATAGAACTTTATTCTGATCAAGAACATATATACTATGTGGGGCCGCAGACCTTGGACATTCCAACAGGACTCAAAACCATCGCACTCAGTACGCGCCAACCAAGAATGGTTACAAAATGAGGTTCTTCGCTTCATTTCCAGTGCAAAATGCCCATCAAAAATCTCCGGATACCAATTCGTTGAACCATTGTGTCTGGAGTATTTTGGAAAGCAAGGTTGGCACTAACAAATATTAAGATGTCGATCACCTCAGATCAATATTCGGGCAGAGTGTGACGATTTTATTAACCATTTGAAGGCCATAATTCGTACCAAAGGTGACCAATTCGAACAAATCTATACTTATTCTAAAATTTGATGCTATTTCCG